CCCGTCCCCGTCCCCGCGTCTGGGACCTGGAGGCCACTGCGTGGACCCGAGGTCTACAGCCTTCTCCGTCAGCGGCAGAGAGAGTCTTGAAACAGTCAACAGAAATTAAAATGTTTTCCAAAGAACAATTTCAGCCTTTCCCATAAACCTGAAATAACGACCACATAAAACGATTGCTTTGCTTTCTCCCTCGTTAGTTTCGGGGTCTCTGCGTGTGACCCCGGATCCTTCAGTGCCTTGGTCTCTGGAGCAGTCGTGCTCATTTTCCCAGAGGACTTTAATCGTGTGTAAAGATGTGTGTTTAAGTAGCTGTGTTTTCCATATTTGCTGGTATATTAAGTTTATTAACACTTTAAGCTTGCTTTAGTAAAGTATACATTGGTTAGTGCTTGATTTATATGTATTTTATAAAAATCAAACTCTCAACTCCTACATCCTTGAAATTTTTAATTTGCTAATATTTTCTGTCTTCGGGATAATGTTAAAACCATTAGCAATTAGACAAAGTTCAATTTCCAATGAATTTGTTATCCACTTAACTCATTATACTTTAATTAATGGAAGCAAATTAAACTACACTTTCCTTTTGTATAAACAGTGAGCATGAGTGAGTATTATAACCCGATTTCTATTTCAACGCCAGCTAGAGCTATTATCAGGAAGTTTATTGTGAACTCAGTGCTAACAATTAATTCCATAGCAGGCAGGGGCTACGCTGGGAGTCAGATGGTTGGGGAGGGGGGAACAGAATTGAACTCACTTATTCAAAATTCCAGCCGTCCAGAATTAGCATGTGTTCCACACTATCTTGCCCATCACCAATTTCTGTTCTCTCCCGGCATTTATTCCCGGAGTAAGGCCCCGCCTCCTCGTCAGCCACGAACTTGAGATCTGACCTTGTCATTAAAATCCTTGTGTATTGGTTTAGTGCCCGGACCTTTAGATTCTCAAAAACTTCCAAGAAAATACCCTGATGGTGGGTGTTTGAGACGTTTACCTCCGGAGTCCACTAACCGCACCAAAGCCCACGAACACTGTCAGGAGCACAGAGGGAGGACGGGGGAGGTGTGGTTCTCCTCAGGATCGGAGGGCAAGCAGCCCTTCCCCATGGGCACGTGCTCTGGTCTGCAGTTTGGAAAACGTGGTTCCGTCCTCACCGAGGCCCAACAACAATGGGGAAGGTGCTGGGGAAGCCAGCGGAGTCCGGGCTCCGTCCGGACTCCGCTGTCCCCGTGGGTGGCTCCGACTCTAATTGCAAACGCCTGTGAGATTTTTATATGCCCTCACCCTTTATAAAATAAATCACTTAATCCTTGCCACAACTCTGTGCAGTTGTTACTGTAGTTTTATTATTGTGTACATTGAAAAAACAACAACAACAACAACAGTGTTTCAGCGGAATTAAGAAATCCCCACCCAGCCCCCCAGCCCCCAGGCGGTTCAGTGGGGTCCCGCCCCAGCGAGCCAGCGCTGGGTCCGTCTGATGCATAGTGGTTCCTGCTCACATTGCCTTTTTCTGGAATTCATGTGAATAGTATCTGCAGGACGTATGATGTGTGGATGAGTGCGAATTTTCCTGATGGAACATCTGGATGGGGAAACAATGGGACTCATTAATTATCTCGAAACAGCCTCCAAGGCTCCGGGGCCTGCAAGCTGGGTACCAACCCTGGGGGAGGCCACGGTCAGGAGGCCGGGGAGTTAACCGCAGGGGGTCTCCTCGGCTCTTCAGGTTCAGATACAGTTGTTTGTTTAACCAAAGGCACTGGTGAATATTATTTGGACGGACAGATAAGCAAGGCCGAAGTAAGGACGCTGATTAAGTCATCCCACTTACACGTTATAATACACGGTACTGTATGTTGTTCGTGGAGGCATTTTTGAAACTGCATACAAAATGATATTTGATGAACGACGGTATCATTTCCTTAAGAACAATGTTTCCTTAAAATCAGACTGGTTTCGAAATCTCCGGCGCACTAACACGTTTATTTTTAGAATGTGGACCAGTGCAACGGCACTCGGTAAGGGCTGTCCGAGGTCATTGGGTCCGGCGCACTGATGAGCCTTGTAGGTTGTGTCTGGCCGGCAGGTCTGCAGGGGCTGGACCCCAGCGTGGCCATCCTGTCCAGCACCCCCACCCCTGCAGCTCCCTGAGGGCCCTTCCCTCCCAGTCAGAGCTCAAGGCAGCCACGTCGGCTCTGGCCATCTGGGCCCCTTCTGCTGGTTTGTTCGAAACTCCAGCTTGTTTCAAAACGTGGGGGTTCAGAGGGACTTGGTTTTCACGGGCCATTGCACACAGTTGGAGCCCGGGGGCCGGACCTAACTGGACTCTCCCCACCCCTCCCCCAGCACCAGCTCACCTGGTCGCCCCAAGTAGGTGAGGGCTGAATTTAAATTCGCGTTGGCTGCGAGTTCATTGAAGCTTACAGGATTTCAGTTTCTCGATGTGAACCTTGTCCTTTTCTTTGGGGGGTCAGTCCACATCCAATTCCCCCAGCCTCTCAGACTGGCTTCTTCCGCCCTGGTGTCTGGTCTAAAATCGTTAGTTCCTGTAGCAGGGGCCAGTTTTAAAGTCCTCTCCTCCATACTTGTGCTTCTGGAAACCTCTGTGCATTTCAATGAACTTGTGTAATTCTGTATGATGTTGACCAAGTACATGTCTCCTTCACACAGAGAGTTTCATTTTCATCTTAAACCTATTGTTTATTCATTTCTGTTGTATCTAAAACTAAAAAATGGCTATATAACAATTTAGAAAGGCCCTTTTACCTACATTTAAATTCCCTTTCAGAAACCGTTTGTGGTGGCTGGAAGTGATTCTAAAAACCCCATTCCCCATAAAAATGCTGAAAACAGATAGATTAGACCTCATATGAAAGCAGCTGAGTTTTAGGAACACCAGTCAAACAGGGTTTATAATGGGAATTAAAGCTGCATTTATTATTACCCAGTAGCAGATGGACCCATCTCTTCATTTTTGGATCACATTTTCTCAGCAAACATGATTACTCTTAATTTTTAAAAAGATAGCTTTATTAATTTGAAAGGTTTTCATGTTCATTAGATAGATTAGAAAATCTTGGGAAAAGGAAGAAAAACGCAAAAAATGTCTTATTAACCTAATTGAACATCTTCAAATGCCACCGAGGATTTGCTGATGATTTTAACACCTGTGTAATAATGTTGCCCTTTAAATGTAACTGGTTAAATTTTCAAAGCTGTGTTCTGGGATTTTGCCGCTTGATGTCCGTTAAAGCAATTGGAATGTGTGGCCAAGTCCCTGTGAACCGCTGTGAGATTTTACCCCTTAGTGTTAATAATGATAATCTTCTAATAGTGCAGTAAGAAATAAATTATTGATCTTCTTAGCTCAAGTTTCTCCTACTCTCTAGGGCTAGCTAAATAAGGAAAAAATTAAATCCCAACATTTCTTTATTCCTTCAAAGAGCATGCATGGAAGAGGACGCCAGTTCAGTACACCTTGACCTTGTCAGTTAAATCATGCAAAGGTCTCTCTAACTGATTCAAGGTACAAATACGATTTTTAAATGCTTTGTTTTCACTTAATTCTTAGGTGTGTGTCTAGAAGTGTGTGCGTGTGTGTTTGCAATGCATTCTCCTCTCCAGTACGCCAGCCTGCTCTTTTGGTTAAAAGCACTCACCCTAAGGAGAAGTCGCCGATACCCGTGGTGGGACAGGAATGGAATCGTGGCATCCAGCTTCTGAGCCCCCCTCGCGTACCAGCTGTGACTCACACTGCGGGTGCTCTCAGGCGTCAGCGCGGAGGAGTCGGACTAGGAAATGGTCCTCCAGCTTGTGTGGGTTTGGGAGCAGCGAGGCGATCCCACGTGTTGGTGTGGAGCACAACAGCGTCCCTTCCACGTGTGCTCACTTGTGCCTGGAGTGCGTGGGCACAGCGTGGAAAGGGAGCCTCTGATCTCAGGGCAGGTTCTCTGAGCTCGCTCATGGTGATGAACTCTGCAGTCAGAACCTGGCGGTGCCGGCGAAGCCACCCGTGCTGGTGGAGGGTCAAGTGCGGTGGAGGGTCAAGTGCTTGCCTGTTGCAAACTTGTGGGCTCGTTTTGGTTTGAGGCTTGGTTTGAGGCAAGCTCAAATTCTTGCACAAATAGAACTTTGTAGTTCAGAAAATGACTTCAAAGCGCCATGGACTTTCAAGTCCACACACCCGAAAATTGTATTCCTGTGTTATGAGAGCATTACTTCATCCCAACATGTCTTAACCTGGGAGTCGAGTGAAGCTTTAGCACGGTGTAATTGTTTTAAAAAATGACCCCCAAGTGTTCTGTCCACCCATGAAGTTTTCGTTATAATTAGGGAATAACCTGTAGACCATGTCTGGCTGGACAGATTATAAAGCATTGAACATATACTTTCCAATTACTGAATTGTACTAAATGCTCTTTAACTTGGTTGAAACTTTCTAACGCATGAGAAAACTAGGTTAGGCTTCCTTTGTGTGATCGGATTATGGAAATTACACGTGCAAAGCACAGTGGACTTTCCAAGTTCACCGGCACCTGGCTTGATTTCACATCCCCGTGGTCACACCAGCTGCCTTCGGCTTTCGGGGAAGCACAGCAGGGCTGGGTCTCTGTGGACGCACCGTGTGCAATTTCTGTCTCTCCCAGAATCCACTGCTCCTGTCCTTTCAAAACCAGGCGCCCGAACGTTCCACACAATCTTGTACACGGTGCCGCACATCAAATCGCCGTGTGCATCTTATTTAATGTGCGGTAGTGACGTCTGCTTGCACAAGGCATCTGAGAGCCGGAGTGGCATCAGGGTCTCTAAAGTAAGAACAGGTCCGTTGACAAACGAGCATGGTTTGAAGCCTAACAGTGTGTCTGTGTGACATGCCTGTGGATCTAAAATAGGGACAGGGAACCTGCGCTGCGTCCAGGACAGCGCAGCCTGGAGACTGAGGGCAGCAGCTCAGTGGCCGCCACGCTCACCGCTGACCGTTCTGTCCCCTGCAGGCACCGCCATCAGGCCCATCGCTTTGAGAGCCGTGTCCACCATCGCGCACGCCCTGCCGGGATTTCCCATAATGGCCACCGGCGGCATTGACTCGGCCGAGAGCGGTCTGCAGTTTCTCCACAGTGGCGCTTCCGTCCTGCAGGTAGTACCTGTGTTTGTCTGTCCTTCCAGGAGCTCTGTCTGACGCACACGGTTCGAGTCAGGTGGCAGCAAGCTCCCTCCCGGAGGGGCCCTGGGAGCCAGGGCGGCGAACGGCAGCCCTTGTTAGGGGTCGGTTGCGTGTTGAGAACACACCCGAGGACTCCCAAACCCTCTTGTTTAAATGTACTCATTCAGCTCCGTTTCAAAATTAAGTGAATCGGGCACCACAGCTCATGCTGTGCTACAGGAAACCAAGGAGCCGATGGAGGAAACAGGGCCGGTGCAGAATCCCGACTGAACCCTAAAGCACCGCCCGGGGAGGCCAGGGCACAGAGCCTGGGGGCGGGGAGGGGGCTCGCCACGCCTGACTCTGAACTTGTGGCAGCCGGGGAAGGGAACCACCGGCTTCTCGGCTTTCCGAGCGTAAACACAGACCAGTTGTTCGGCTGCAAAGCTGAGGACGTTCTCACGTTCTCTCTATACGGCCGCTCGGAGACACAGTGCACTGTGCTCTTACTCGCACCTCTGTGTATAAGAAAAAGTGGCGTGCTCTTAAGATTATTCGTCCACTTGCTCTTTGTCACGTAGCGCACACAGGCCGGGCACGGTGTCCGGCATGTCACACCATGAGTTCTTCTTGGAGGGGCCAGGTATGTGGGCTGGGATGGCCTGAGTTGACCCCAGGATACATTTGCTCGTGTGACGACGAGGCCTGGACCTCTCAGGTGGTCCTGCGCCAGTGGGGCCCTGACTGCCCAGCAGCGATGGTACCTGGGAGGCAGAGGGTTGAGCATCCCCCCTTCTCTGGCAAGAAAGTGAAGTGCAAATACCTGGCGTTGCCCATTTGACCGTCAGAGTCAGTGTCCTTTCTGGAAGCACGAGCGAACTGGAAGTACGGCAATTAACGGATGCCGATGCCAATGGGACATGGGTGTCATGATTGTTTGACAAAGGCTTTAAAGCAGCCATTATGAAATTGCTTTAACAGGCAATTAGAGTCATGAAACAGGCGATTAAAACACAGGAAAAAAGAGGAGGTCTCCACAAAGGAATAGAGGACGTATAAAGAAGCAAGTGGAAGTCTCAAGACTGCAAATTGCAGCAACTAAAACACAAAACACCGTTGGTGGGCTCGACAGCAAAATGAAGAGAACAGGAGAAAGAATCGGTGAACTGGAAGAGAGAGCAGCAGAAATCAGCCGATCTGAACAATAGAGAGAACACAGGCTGGAAAAAATAAATGGGCAGAGCCTCGGGCAACTGCGGGACCATGACAATGGTCTTACGTTCATGTCATCAGAGTGACAGAGAGGAGGGTCAAGAAAAAGAGGCTGAAAATGTAATAATGTCTGAAAATTTCCCAATGTTTGCAAAAGATGTGATTCTACAGATTCAAGAAGCTGGATGGATTCAAAACACGTCCATACCCAAACACGTCATAGTCCAACTTCCGCAAACTGAAGTCTTGAGAGAACTTTAAAGGCAGCAAAGACACAACAGCGGGAATCCAGAGGATGAATAATTCTAATAAAAGTAGGTTTTTCATCAGAAACCATGAAGTCCCAGAAGTGGGAGAACATTGTTTCATTGTTCAATGAGAAGATTTATCAACCCAGAATTCTATGTCCTTTGGGATTAAAAAAATAATAAGACATTCTTAACTAAAGAAAACAAAGAGCATCTATTGTCAGGAGACCATAACCAAGAGAGTGGCTGAAGGAATTTCCTTAAAAAGGAAAGAAAGTGATTAAAGAGGGTACCTTGGGACGGCAGGAAGGAAGGAGGAATGTGAGCAGCATCTTCAGGAAGCGTCTGGAAGGTGGTGAATGTCCAGGCCTAGATGCCACCGCACTCGTGTTCACAAACCCAGAGAAGTGTGTGAATCAGAGGGTGTAAGTCGGGTGCGGGTGGGCCCCAGAAAGGGTGCCGGCTCGTTTCCAAGCTGTGGGTCCTCTTGGGCAACCCACACGCGGGGGTGGAGATCGTGGGTTGGCCCCCCTGTGCTGGCTCTAGCTGCTGCCCTGGGTCGTGTGCCCACACCCACCCACGAGTGACATTCTCCGATACCACCTTGACCCACAGCCGAGGCTTGAAGAATCAGAGCAGTGCGGGCAAGTCCCGTGACACACCTGGCATTTCCCTGTGGGAAGACAGTGCCCTTCCCGCTGGCCACGCTGGCTGTCCCCTCCCAGAACCGCGAAGGTGGGCTTGTCAGCAACGGGCCGGTCTTCCCTGCTACTCGAGGCTGCCACGTTCGGTCTTCCACTTCTTCCTTAAATAAGGATTCAAAGAAGAGAAGAGACATGAAGACGTAGGAAAGTAAGTCTACAAGGTACGTTCTGAGCACAGGTGTGTGCTCAGTACGTGGAGCATGGCGTAGAAATACACGTGTCCTCATAAAAGTGTGTGATCACTCACACAATGATCGCTCACACGAAGAAGCAGAGGTGAAGGGAATTGTTATCTTCTGTGCACACACGGCAGCTAGAACCGCAAGGCTGACGGGGAAGTTCTGGCTCTAGGGAGACATGTCCGTCTCTCAGGCGGACCAGGTGCTTCCTCCTCCGGGGAGCCCCTGGTTCTGTTCACTCTGTCTCCCCAGAGATCACTCCGTTTCCGCCGCCTCTGAGCACCTCTCTGCCTCCCAGGTGACCCTCGGCCCACCCGAGGGGTGGCCTTCCAGCTCCCACTTCTGCTGTACGCGACAGACCTCACAGCTTCCCCTCTGTTGGCTCAGATTTTACGAGGAAGAACTCTGTTTGGCTCCATTTATTTTTCATGCCAGACTCCATCATGAAACGCAGTCACCCACTGTATGGACTGCTCGGTGGGCTGGGGAAACACACTAAATACTTATTCAGTGGACTTGTCCAGGGAGTGTGGCTGAGTCATAGTGTTTTGTGTGGATTGTGAAGAGGAGACAAAAGGGTTCACACAATGTGGAAGGTGGCGGCAGAGACCTGGCCCCACCACTCGGCGGCGAATGGCCCAGACTTCGCCACACGGCGGGGCGCCATCCGCTCCGAGTGGAGTCTGTGAAAATGGGCGATTCCGCACGGAGGCTTTTCATGGTACAAAAGTCATAGATTACGACGTACTAATTCTGCCGTTGGCTTGAGTCAGATTTTCGTTCAGGCAGAATGCATTTTAAAGCCATTTTAGCTAGAATGTGAACTGAAATCAGGATTAAGACACATTTAGGACAGTTGTAAGTGGGAAGCCCTCTGAATGAGGAGTTTTGGCTCGGCACTCCACCCAGGGTGCAGAAGGTATAATATTTCCGTCTCTCTTCCATTAAAACTGAATTTCACTCCGTTCCACCCCCTAGTGCCGGGACACCCTAACCGTTCATTTTCTGAAGAGTATTAGGGAAATTTAAGTAACTAACTCTGCCAATTGGATTTACTCCAAACTCTCAGTGTGTGATGTCAGTTAGACCTTGGGTGCTAGTCAGCGTCTATTTTTAGTCATCTTTTTAAAAGAATTTTGCATCAAATGCCCACCAGCAGTCAGCTCAGAACTTGTCCACGCACCTGGGGGCTCCAGACACCTCACTGCCACTCTCCCATCTGTGTGTCCCCGTGTCCCCTGCCTCTCGTGGCCCAGTGTGACCCCCTTCTGCTCCTGTGGTATTTATTTCCCTTAAAGAGCTGATCCTCCTACACATCTTCAGGTAGAAACTATCAACTGTTCCTCTACATTTGTACTCGAAAGCGAAGCGTGTACTGACAAAGTACGTTCTGGATAAGACGTGACGCAGGCAAAGTGGTCATCGTCCCAGGCAACGAGGCACGGTCACAGGGGGACAGAGAGGAGTCGGGACGCAGAAATGGTAACCGGAGAAAAACACTTCGATTCTGGGGCGTGAACTGGGTGAACCGGTGCGCTCACTTCCGGAATAAGGGTTTGTAATCAACGTGATTCCAGATTTTGTTGTCAATGAATTTAATGACCGTGATGCTCCGCGTGACTTGAATGCTGACACCCGAAAGAAAGATGGAGAGTGGAAACATTTCTCCTAAGTTGGGAAAACGGGACAGAACGTGCCATTCTTGTTGATCAGTGTGCACCGGGGAGCAGCACTAATTCATGTATTTGTTCAGTGAACGCAGACGAGGCCTCCCGCCTGCCTGGCACTCCCCCCTGGGGGTCCAGAATTCCGGAAACAGACCAGACAAAAACCGGCCGCCCCCTGGGGCTTACATCCTAGTGAAGGGAGAGATATAAGGTGCACCGACTGTGACACAGAAGTATATTATCTGATATATGAAATGAGAGCTGTGGGAAAAAAAGAAAAGGTAACATTTGTACAGAAAACTGACGTTGGTGAGTCAGGAGAATATTTATGGAAGGAAAATCCTCAGGTCGCAGCAGCATCCGCTAAAATTTTTACTGAGAGTTTAACTGCGATATAAAAGTCACAGAATACTGGAGACCACCTTGCAGTTAATAAACAGAAATGCCTTTCAGGGTTTCCGTCGCATTTTAATGGGCAGTTTTTCGCTTTTGAAGTCCTGGTGCCATTTCTCAGTGGCACTGTTCATTTCTATTATCTCATTCTACTTTGACAAGGACGCTAACGGTTTAATGGTAAAATATACAATAACTCTACATTAAAATGCTTCAATGAGTGTTGAATATAAAAACTAAGGACGTAGCTAGAGGGTAATTTGGATATTTCAGACCGTATCTCTAGCGCAGCTTTGGCGTGAAAACAGCTATTACTGCCGAACCAGAGGCGACACTCGGACAGAGAAGTCGTGTTCCAAAAGGGCTGCAAGTCTGCGTCCTTCGGTAGCTGCTCACAACCTCATCATTTAACTCAACTCACTTCGAATTTATTGACGTGAACTCGGGGCCTTTGAAATCTGATTGCTCATCTTCCTTGGTAGGCTCTCGTTATTTAAAATACGCAAGTCAGAGCTGTGACATTTCTTAGTAAGCCTCAGGTACTGAAATGTTTAAACACCTCCTTGTAAAATTACATTCTCATACTCTTCA